GGGCGACTGGGGTTTTTAGGGGTCGCAATCGCCAAATTCTGGGTGTGGAGAATCATCATCCACGACCCTTTTAGTTCGGGCGCCACTGTAGAGACATTAGGTATTTTGGAAGCAGAAAAGATGAAAAATGAGAAATTCTTCGCCGGGAATCGAACCACGGACCTCTGGAATACGCGACCAGCGTGCAGACCACCACACCACGAAGGTATGCCAAGAAGGCGGGAGAAATACCTTATAATACCTATTAAAAATGAGAACAGACCACAATTTGAATGTAGACTTTCTATTATATCTATAATAGAAAGCAACTGTATTGTATTAATTTGCATATATAATATCTATTCTACATATAATAGAAAGCACACTAAAGTAAAATAAAATAAACTAAATTTGAGTTTCCCGCTGACACTGTATCTATGATAAAAACTGAAAATAGTCCTATAATAAAGTTAGAGTGCTGAAGTGCTCGACAACGTCCATTCTCACAGAGCTTTCGTTGGATACAGTCGGTCCATTTTATCTACAATAAAAACGGAAATGGAAAACTATTATACAAACACTGGCCAATGAATTAAAAACCCAACATCAATATTTTATTGGAACACCTTTTGCACGGATAACTGTTCTGATTTGTTTTGACATCCAGTCTACATGCTTCTGAAGTGCATTTACGTGCAGAGAATGCCATGCATTGGCTATGCAACATTTTAGATTTTGTAAATTAGATGGAAGAGGAGATTGCTATCGGATGCCTTATAAGGTATTTCTCCCGCTTTCCTAGCGTGCCTTCGTGGTGTAGTGGTATTTCTCCAGTGTATAAGGTATTTACCAGAAATTTTTTGCCTTGGTGAATGAGAAATAGATTTCAAGAAATGAAAATTTAACATGGACCCTTAATGTTGTTTCCCAAAGGAAGAGATATTCTATTCTCTGTAAAACAGATTTGTGTATGACTTCTATGTTTTTCAGTATTATTTAGATTGGGTTTACTGGTGTAATAAGCACAGAATGTTCAAATAGGCAGCTTTAAAATTGTAAGTCTAAAAAGGTATTTCTCCCGCCTTCCTAGCGTACCTTCGTGGTGTAGTGGTTCTGCACGCTAGGCCGGTGTTCCGGAGGTCCGTGGTTAGATTCCCGGCGAAGGCGGTTGCTAATTTTTCATCTTGTCTGCTTCCAAAAAATATCTAATGTCTCTACAGCTTATTTCCACCATATCATAGACATTTTCTATGGGGTTAAGATCCGGGCTATTCGGTGGTCAGAGAAGGTGTTGGAAATCAGACTGATGTTCAGCGAACCAATTCTGAACACATCTGGCACGATGTATAGTTGCATTATCGTCCATGAAGGTAACCCTCGTCGCCATCAGGGTAAAAATGCAACATTGCAGGGAGCATTTGATCTGCCACTATGTCTAGGTATATCATGGCTGTTTGTTTACCCCTCGAGGACCACCAGGGCACCACTTCCATGCCAGAAGAATATGCCCCATATCATAATACTCCCACCAGACCTTTGTATAGTGCGAGTAAGGCAAGATGGTCTCATGGCTTATGGGGTTCTCGCCAAATTCAACGTCTTTCATCAGTGCAAAATAAGGTGTAGCGTGATTCATCTGACCACATTATCCGTTTCCAACCCTCAGATGTCTAGTGCCTTCTTCCCCGACACCATTACAAACGAATTCTTGCATGTCGGGCAAAAATGTTCTGCCCCACATGCACCCGACTATGCATTCCTATCCTCTGCAAAGGGATAGAGCTGAAATCTGTTAGGAAGAGCCTTGGTTGACGAACTGCGTCAGTTGAAGCAGAGTAGAGTCTTTGCTCTGCCGTACAATTCGTCGGAGGCGACGCTGATCACTCTTTTGGAAAACTGTGCTCGAATCGTAGTTATGTCTTCTAGAGAAGGGGGTTCTGATTCCAACTTTTGAAACCCTTTGATATGGCTGCTTTTGAGAACCCAGTGTGATTTACTGTCTTTGAAATCGAGGCCCCTGCTAAACGGGCACCAAGAATAAGCCCTTTTTGAAATGGTGAAAGATCTGTAGTTTTTCCCATTTTACTTCATTCATCGTGAAAAGCACTCTTACACCTTACTTATACTAGCATTCTAACCACGTGTAACCCGCGTCATAAAACAAATTGCATACTTCATCCCTAGAACGCATTAAAATGAAAATCTCAAAGTTTTCTAATTCATTGGCCAGTGTGCGTAGATGTAAAGGAATGATGATACCCAAACGACAGATCGAGATGTCGATGATCACAGTCTTTTCAATGAAACGAAACTCGGAAAATAAGATAGTTACAAATGAATGAGGATACCCAATTGACAGATCTCGGGGAGATCGTTTGGATAGCCCAATTGTGGGAGAAACGGAAATCGGAAACTATTATAGATACAAAGAAATGAGGGTACCCAAGCCGCAGATCTCGGGAGATCTGTCATTTGCGTAGACATTAGACATTGCGTAGTCCGCTTAGAGATAGATGCAACAGAAAAAAATCTGATGTGTACACCACATGACTTCCTTGTATTGGAATATTAAATTGGAATATTAATTTATACTCATTTTTTTCTTGCATTTCTTTTAAACTTATTGGATTGAATTAAATATACTTCGCCGACAGCGCATAAACCACAATGGAATAAATGAATTCTTTAAAATTCACTCTAGTATTTGTTTACCATAGCGACACTCTGGCGCTAGATTCACTTAATAGTATTAATAATTACATAACAGTTAACTTATATAATAATTATATAACGGAAACTAAGTTAACTGTTATATAATCCAATAATTATATAACAGTTAACTTATATATTTCGTTCATATTATAACTCATAATGCACAAAATTTATATCATTTAAAGAATAGAATTATCTAATCATTGCCACATGTTCTATTCAAATATTATAATAAAGCTAGAATGATGTATAAAAAAAATTAAGCAAAGAAAACAAACAAACAAAAACAAAAAAAAAAAAAAAAAAAAAAAAAAAAAAAAAAAAAAAAAAAAAAAAAAGAAACAGTTTTTCACAGACGATTGAGTATTTCTCATTTAATTCAGTTCTCACTTCGCGAGAAGGCAAAAATACATAAAAACTCAAAATATCTATATTAAAAATTACGAAGTAAATTTCAAACACTTATTTCCTCGAAAACATTCCAGAAAGAATTAAGCATGATTTAATTGGAAATAATGAATGAATGCGTTATCTTTGTTGTTGCGAAGCTAAGTTTCTCTAGATTGGCAACAAATCTACTAGTCTCCTGTTTCAAATATAAACATCAATGGCCGCCATTAAAAAAGGCTTAGCGGCAATTAAACAACTTTAAAATTGCTGATAATTCTAAAAATATTGCACACAGATTTACTAAAGACATAAAATCCTTAACCGGAAGATTAAAACAACATAATTCAATCATTTTTAAACCAAAAAATGTACAATTTACAAACATATAAGAGTAAAGAAACTGAGATCACTGAGCCAGGTAACTGAGTGGATATATATATATATAAATATTTATATACGTTTGGTGCGGCCGATTGCATCCAAAATACGAGGTGCACATCTACATGTTATAGCAGTCCTATATACAAAATTTCAAAGTTCTGAGGCTACTCGTTTTTGAGTTATGCGAGATACGTACGTACGCACGCACGTACGAACGTTCGTACACACGCCACGAAAAATTCTCTTCAGAATTAATTTTAAAGCAGTTTTATAATTTTTTTTGAAGGAAAAGAGTATTTTATTCTATCCTTACGTACAGATATCACGCAAAAACATCGTTAAATTGCATTCGTTAGCGGTCAAAATGGATATTTTCGTTGAAATATGCTGCCTGAAACTTTTCGCGATTGCAGTACTTCCTTTTTACTTCGTACAAGGAAGTAAAAATGAGGATTCCGCTGTGCTTATGATTGACGATATCTCGAGAACCATAATATTAATTAGAAAACGAACAGTACCAAATTTTACGCGTGAGAAGCTGTATCATTTGAAATAAAATATTTTATTTTACTTGTATTTGAACCGGACTTAGTGCTCCTAATATAAAACATCAAACACATACAAAATTTGATTGAAGATATCTCGAGATCTGTCATAGCTACAAAAATTCGTGTAATCGAAATATTGCATTTGAACCGCCTTTTTATTTGCAGCAAGAATTTTCATTTTACGTATGATACATTTGGTGTACCGTTTCTGGTACATTTTTGATCGAAAATATCTCGGAAACTATGATACTTATTAAAAAAAAACCACAATATACAAAATTTTGCGCGTAAGATTCTTTGTCAGTTGAAATTTTTTTTTTTTTTTGTGATTTTGCCTGTAATAGAATGGAAGTTAAGCTGGTGAACCGTTTACGGTGTACCTATGATGGAACATAACTGGTGATTTATGGTACCTGTTAAAACAAGAGACTAACGGAAAGTTTCATTCGGCACAGAGCTTTCATTTGCAGATAGAATTTCCCTTGTGCCTGTAATAGAAAGCAAACTAGTTAAAGTAATGCTGGGTGCATCACTTACATTGTACCTATGATAGAAACCGAAAAGAGTGATCTAATAAAGTTAGACTCATAAACCGCTCGCTGACGTCCGTTCTTGAAAAGAGCTGTCGTTGACCACAGCCGTTCCATTCTGTCTACACTAGAAACGGAAATCGAAAATTAAGATATTTACAAAGGAATGAGGATATCCGTATCGACAGATCTAGGGGAGATCTGCCGTTTGGGTAGCCCACTTACGAATAGCTTCAGTAGAAGCGGAAGATGGAAATTATTATATATAAAAAGGAATGAGAATAGCTAAACGGCAGATGGTTCGGAGTTCTCTCTTTTGCGTAGGCCGCGTATGGATAGCTGCAATAGAAATGAAAAATGAGGGTTGAAAAATGAGAAATGACACAGCCAAGAGAAATTTTGATGCATTGCAAGTGCTAGGAGGGAGCATATAAAAATTCAAAGAAGAAATTGCATGAGCTATTCCTAATTAAGTTAGTAATTTATTAGAGATTGATTTTTTTATTTTATATTTTACATATTCCCGCCCTATCAAGAAGAAAACGACTTGGCGAGAGGAAATCCTTTTTAGCAGTAGCAAAGAAATTTATTACAGTACGTATAGTTGATAAGAGAAAAGGATGAAGGTCTTCAGGGACGTAGTCTTGGTGTTTCACTGTGTCCATCATTTGGTTCACAAACTTCCTCATATCTAGATATATAAAAACAAACAAAAATATAATTTCAAAATCAGAATATATTAAAACATGTAAAATCAATTTAGAAGTATGAAAACAAAATTTTATGAATGAAAAGTTCAAACTGCAAGTTCTTGAAAAGATAAAAAGTTCTTGTATTCAAGATATTCTTCATGCTCAATGTGTAAAAAGTTCTTGGAAGTATATTTTGCTATCACCTCAAAAAATTTTCCAATTGTTATAAAATCTCACAGTCTTTGGTAAAAACTTACTGTTGTTATCGGTATAAAATTTGTTCTAAAACATGGTTGAAATTGCATTACGTTTAGTATGTACTTATTAATAATGGAACGAAAATAGTGTTTCATATTGTAGAGCAATGGAATAATTGATGTACATTACAAACAAAATACAATAGTAATAAACTTTGACAAAAATGGGCTGGTCCTCTACAATGCAAATCAGCGTAACAAATTGTTAATTGCTATAGGTTGCTCAATTATACGTAATAGGCTCTGTTCTTTAAAAAAGGTGACTAGCTTTCAGTATTTCAAGGCAAATCAAAGTTAAAATGTTAATTGACTTTTATGGTCATAAAAGTCCTTTTACATTATACACTTGACATTAAAAAAATTAAAATTCAAGGCAAACAAACAACTTGTATGCTCAAGTTATGTCCAAAGAAATTGAATTAACATAACAGCATTACCTTACAATATTAAAATTTACAATAATAAAAAAATAAATGTGAATTGGGAGTCTGTGTGTTTCCTTGTAAGTGTGGTAGCACTTTGTGCTGAAACTGGCCAGAAGAATGTGACCAGTGGAAAATATACCCTTCTCAGTCAATTTTCTAACCACAGTGACTCTCCTAAATAAAATCCTCCATCATTTGAGGATTAGGGCGTATTCCTAGGGGGACAGAGGGCGTGTGTTATCACTGCTTATATCCTCTCTAAGGAGAGAATACAAGGAGTAAACACATAGTGTCAAACCTCGTGTCACATTATCAAATAAAACGTTTCGTTTCGTTAATCTGGTATAAAATTCAGCCTTCAAAATTGAAGAGTAAAGCTTGTCGTCACTTCATCTCCGCGCTTAGGCAGACGTACGCAACAAATTTTGAACAGAAACACTCTGGTAAGAAGGAAAGGGTAAGATAGCAAAGAAGCCAGACTGGGAAAATGTCAAATTAGGGAATAAAAGCGTGAAAATTAGGGGTTACTATCTTGAGCATGTTAAGAACTCATAATCAGTTTGAAATAGTTTTCAGAAATTTTAATGCTTACTTTGGAAAATAAAATTTACTAAATTTTGAATGGCAACAGACATCTACAGTAAATTTAAATTAAGCTGCTAGATTAAAAGGTCTGAGTCTGATAAAATGGACTATTTCTGATTTCGTTTTAGTAAGGGGATTTGGTTTATCTATTTGGAAGGTAACTTCATAAAATTTTATAAGGATCTGAAAAACGAGGCGAGAGTTTTCGTGTATTGGAATACTGAAATTCTTCACACATTACTAAATCGCCAGGTTTAAAATTACTTGCTTGGAAATGGAAGTCATATGTATTTTTAGTTACATCATCAGAGCATTTTTGAGCAATTTTTCTAGTTTCTTCAGTTGGTGGGTATACTTCTTGATTTTCAAAAAAGAAACATAAGATAATTTTCCATACATTAAATAAGATAGTGGAAATTTAGGTACAGAATGTGGTGTATTATTGTATTCTTCTATAACCTTATCAGGACTTGTTTTCCTCTTGACTTGCTTTGGAAACATGAACTGTCCTGATTCGGAACAGGAAGTTTATTCAAGCTATACTCAATAAATTGTGAAGTAGACAATACACACAGGAAGGGTATACGAAACCCTTTATTTTTCTATCTTTACAGATCTTTCCGGAACTTCGGAGTACAGAGATCGACCACTTGTGGTCTGAACGTAAGAATATAAAACTACTAACTAAAAATCTAACTAAAACTAACTTTGAATTAGTATACAAGTGCCTAGCTTTAAGATTGGCCGTTATTTAATAAAAACCGTATGTACAGTATAGAGAGCTGCTAAAACTACGATACGTTTGAAATTATCAAGAGGACTAAACCTTTGGCCTTGAAGGCAAACAGCAACCGAGTGAAAACTCGTAAGACGACAATGGCAAGCGGCCTGCATCCAATAACTACTTCCTCTCTCTTGCTTGGCAAAAAGCCACAACTTAAGTACTTAACGTTAGCAAGACAAATTTTCATAAATAAGTTAAAGCTTTTAATTCTGGCCGGAAGTAGAAAATAAGAAGTGATAGTAAAGATTTAAAATAAAATAAACGTTAGTAAAACTTACAACCTGAGGTAACAATTTTGTCCGTGCAATACTACTTTGATAAGAATTTAATTTACATTTTAATCTAGTTATAACGGTTTGATTTACTCTTTCAACTTTACCATTAGTTTGAGGTCTATTAGCAGTAGTTAATAAATGTGTAACATTATTATTTTTTAAAAAGTGCTTAAATTTTGGTACCTGAATTTGAAAAATTTGTCTAGAACAATTTATATAAGTATCAGCAGTTGCACTTTTTGAAGCAAATATCTATAGATAACGAGTAGCATAATCTATAAAAACGTGAATATATTTCTTAGTTGAATTATAATTGTTACAATAGTTTCGAAAGGTTCACTTACAGATGGTAAAGTTTGCATTAAATCAAATTTCTTTTGTGTACTTTTCTTATTGAGCTGAAATACTTCACAATGTTTGCAATAATGTCTAGTATCTTGTATTGTACCTTCCCAATAATACATAGGGAGAATAAATTTAACATGGAACATACACCAGTATGACCAAATTTCGGACAGGATGACTTAATGTGTTTCAAAACTCAATGAAAAAATTTATTCGGCCAGTTCTTGACAGCATCTCAAGAACGGGCTCACCAGCGGAAATTCATCTGCGGAATTTAAGTATGTTAACTACAAGGATTGAAGCTCTGCGACGATAATGAGGTTTATTTTATTCTGCATCCATATGAAGTATCGCTCTTGATCTTTTCAATATCCAGGAGTGGAAAAAATTTCTATCTTCCCCAGAGCTTTGAAAATGAATCCAGTAATTTTCAATGGAGCAAAACTCAAATAGCGCTATGAACTCTAAAATTTTACATAAGTATTTTTATGAACGAAGTAAATTAGTGCAGCTAGAAATTTATATATTATAATTATATAGAAATTGTCGATCATTATTATTACATTGAAGATTTCGAAATCTGATGCGGTTTTTTTATTGTATAGAATTTTAAAAATGTTGTACTGTTTTATGAAGTTGAGTAACATTTTATGGCACAAAAGAATTCAATTTTTTATAATTATGTTTGATAAAATAGGTAACGAATTTAAAGATTTGTAAAGCTTTTATTTGGAGAAGGGTATTAACATGGTTAATATATTTTTGCATTATTGTTTAAACACTTTTGAATTAATATTTTGAATTCTTTAATTATTTTAACAAAAATATTTTTTTAAAATTTGAAGTCTAAGAATTTTCTAATTATTCTAAGAATGAAGTGAATGAACCTTGAATTGGGGATAAGTAGATAAAAAATGGGTAACTCTGAATTATACTTTAATTTAGCAATAGCCCCTTAATTCTCTTTTAGGTTTGGGTACTTCTCCCTCTCTATTCTAAAAGTTGTAATAACGTTTTCGAAACTGCGTCATATCTGAAAACTAATACCGCACTACGCTATCTTAGCTCTCTGCACTGCATACAGTTCTTAGCCAATCAGATTAACGAAAAATTTTATCATAAATACTGCTGCTATCCAATTACGCTCTCTCTTCTCACTATGTTCTTACCTACTTACTTACTTATATTTGTGTTTTAAAATTGTAATTATTTCTCCATGACGAACTATTGGAGATATTTTCAATTCGCTCATTGCATGAGCAACGAATTATTATTAACTGAGACCACCTTTCAATGGACTTTACTAAACTCTCTGCTTTGGATATGCTTTGACTTATCAGATGTCTTTGCTGCTCAAGTGACTACTGGTCACACTACCCCCTGCACCTTCAACGCTGTATTCTGGAACCACAGTCATGCCTTCCTCTACCTGAAGCGCTAGTCTAGGTAACAAACTGATGACAGCCGCAACACGTTGTGCGAAATTGCACAATACTCGCAGCTTACGATGACACTTGGAACTACCCTCTCTCTTTCTCTGCCTACGCTTGCTAGCTGAAGAACGTCTTTTGCTTGGATGCTTCTGTCAAAAATGTAATGCGTCATCATCAAAATTGTGTGGGGCCGATTGCCCCCATTTTGCTGTGCCATTAATAGAATAATCAACAAGTGATAAAGATATATTTGGATAATCAAACGTTACTGGCATCTTCTATTAGGTTATAGATATTTTCAGTGATCTTCTAACCTCAGTCCACTTGCGACTGCAAAATAATGCCTTTTCTACTCAAGCATTTACTTGAAATCAAATTGCTGCAACGAAATAAATTATTTTATCACATGCTATATATAAAAATAAAACTGCTAATTATCTATAAAAAATTAATAAGTGGGAGCCTTCAAGTTTATATAGCGTTACCATTTTGCGAAACAGAAATACTGATTAATTTTTTTACGATTAAGAAAAAAATTTGATTAGATAAAAAATAATCGAGGCTTTTTTGGCAGAATTTAAGTAATTTCTACAGAAGAACGAAGGTTAAATATTCATATCGCTTCTATTGTTTAATTTACCTGTCCATGCGATTTCATTGAACATCTGACAGATCATATAATGTTTTCAAAACAGAAACAATCTTATTCTTTCAAAGACATAACCTGACATTTCTCCTACCCCACACATTTTAAACACAGATTAGAGATATTGTAGAGCAGCATGATAAGCAGTAGGATACAGATTACTTTCATGCCTTATGTTAAAGAAAAAGCCCGAAAGCTGAACAATATGAAAAAATACTCACTATAGCTTTAGCTAATTTAACAAAACAT